AGATATAGGAATAGAGATAATAAGATCCAATATGGTTAGACAAATCAAATGGGAGCTATCGGGGCCATAGTGCCTATGATAAAATTCAAATTGAACGTCAAAGAGCATTCTTCAGCAAATGTCTTGTAATAGCCAAATTCCTATATTTAAAATTGACTTGGCAAGCGTTGGGGTTGGCGGCTCCCCAATGTTGAGCCCTCAGATTTTTGGACAAAAAAATAGGTTTTGGGTGTGTGTTGCAGTGCCAAGGGTGGCTCCTCCGCAAAGCTGGGTTTAGGTGGAGAGATTCTAGGGGAATTTGGAAAATCCAGGGGGAGTGAAGCAACACTAGGAGGGAAAGTGAGCATCGCTGCGCTAGGTCATAATATTGGCTTTTAAAATAATAAATATCTCAATCTATTTCATTAACCCCCTTACCCAAGCCATTTCCTCTCATTTTGCATGTTTTTCCAAGAAAGATAGAGGAGAGGAAGGGGAGATGGGGGAGAGAGAAGAGATAGGAAGTTGCTTGGGATATTTTCTTCTATCGAACCTATTATGAAATTTCTTTTGATCATAGTAGCTAACTCAAATCCTATCTTTATTTTCAATTATTTTGTGCTTTATAAATTTAATCTCTCACAAATCAATTAAAATATAATTTTTCTTAATTTATTGGACTTTCATCTTATATTTTTTTTGTATATGATAGACATGATTTTTATGAACATTTTGACTGTAATATTATTGAATTTCACTAGGCAAATTGATATTTATGATTTTCTGAAATTAATGAATAATGTATAGATTTTTATGTATTTCATAGATTATTGAATCATATAGAGAAAGTGATATGATTGATATATGATAAATATGATATTTACATGTAAGCATGAATGTTAGCAGTGAACTCTAAAATTTATATAGACTGACAATTAAAATGATAATATCATATACATTAAGCCAATGGATTTTCTTTAAAATAAAGATTTGCGATGTGATCCTATATATGTGGAGAGTGATGACATTTTATTGATTTATTGAAAATCATATGTTAAAGTAAATATTTAATAGAAATAATTGAAAGATGTGATAAGCAAATAATGATGGATTGAGATGGAAAATGGAAGGATGAAATTATCAAATAAAAACTGGATGTCCTACCTTGCTGTATAAATTCATATAATATTGATACTTGCATTGACGTGCATACATAAAGGCATATGGAGATTGATACATACAAATTTGCATATATTAATGATATGATAAATACACTTATAGAGATGTATATGCTAACTCCATGACCCTAACAATTATTATAATATTTTTTATGTTTGCAAAATACAATATGATTACAAAATAATGATTACAATTTTTAACACTAACATTGTATATACACAATGGAAGAACAATTAAAATGTTAGGTACACACTAAGAAAGATATACAAGACTCAAAATTAAGACATTCATAGCTCAAGTTAGTAAATCAAGCAAGTGAAAAAAGCAATTAAAAACTCCATAAAACTAAGAAAATTAGTCTAGCTAGAGTAAATTAGGTGTGGAGCTATAAGGGTAAGAAAATTAATTTATTTTTTCTATTGAGTCTTATTTGTATGTGTTAAATTTTAAAAGCCGGAAGACAACACAAACAAACATATATAACACTTCTAAGCTAAAAGAACTACTTAATAAAAAATAATTTAAATAAAACATATCATATGGCATTATGCAATACAAAGCATATCATATGATATGCCCTAGTTTGAGATTTGAGATAAGATAAATTTAAATTAGTTATATTTTTCAAAATTAAACTAATTATATGCATTATATGATGCAATCATATTATATGATCATTATTATTAAAAAATGCTTATTTGCCTAATGAATTTTTTTACTTATATTAGTGGTTAAGAAGAAGGCTAGCCACCTATGATCACATCAAACAAGCTCCAAATACCATTGATATGAATACCAATTTTGGATAGCAATCAACCCAATAATCCAACCCAATTTGAAGAAATTTTAGAAAGGGCTTGGATTGACTCACAATGTTGAAGATGAGGGATCAATTTTGATGAGCACCACTGCTCATGAAGTTAAAATATATAAGCTTGATTAGTTTATTAAGGCTTCGTTTGGGACAACTTTCATACTGCTTTTTAAAATAGATTTTTAGTACAAAAATTTGAAATTCAAGAAATTTTTGTACTGAAAAACTATTTTAGAAAGCAAGAAGAAAGTCGTCCCAAACAAAGCCTAAGTTTATAGTCTATGAGAGTGGTCAATTCACGATGACATGATATGATATTATGAAAAAATTTAAATAAAATTTTAAAGTAATCCAAATATTTGGGAATTCAATTTGTCATGATATAATATTATTGAAAAAAAAATAGTCAATTTAATATATCAAAATTTAAACTAGTTGATATAAATTGATTGCTTGGCTCATCACCTACTTAGCAAATATTATTGCACACACACACACACATACATAATAATTCAAAACATACATAATTGAATACATTTAGCTTGAGTAGTTATTCGGTGTAGATTATATTGACATCCATAAGTACCTATTATTAAACCCACAATTTCATATCTTTCATTAGCCATTCCCGTTTAAGTGGTCACACCATATTTAAGTTCTCTAAGATGAAAGATGTGTTGTAGATCCTGAATTCCACCAACTTTCTTTGTAATTTGTGAACTAGAAGATATTGCAATGTATAGGATAAAATTTTGGTAAATGTCTTGTCTTTTGGTGAAAGCTCCAATGTGCTGCTATTTTCATGAGACAGTGATTGTTTTATAGAATTGACAAATACAACTCTATCGTTATGTTTCATAATCAAAGGCTTAATGTAAAATATCTAACATATATTATGGGCCTAACTTATATTATGATCTTAAATCTTAAATATCTTCATTCATGAAGGGAAGTGGGTCCTTTCTAAATACTTTCTTTCTTGAAGGGAAATTGGCCCTTTCTCATCTCCTTATTGATTTGAATGCAATAAGTATAATGCTATTTTAAATGCAGTGATTTATTTAAGTTTCTTTAGGATGTGATAAAATACTGTGGAGCTTGGAATATAATTTTTCAAACTCCGGTGTTAAATTTACTGTATCCTATAATCTTTTTTAAGTGAATGAGTTAGTTATTATGTGGTTTAAAAAAATAGTCATTAAAATTTTCCTTTTTCTATGGATAGGTTTAACAATTGTGAATAATATTTTCAACAAATGCTTGTCTATTGGAATTATATGCAAGCTTTGTAGATCTATCCTTGAAACACATAAACACTATTTTTTCGATGCTCTATGCCCTTTCTACTGGTTCAAAAATTACTCCATATGGAAGTTTTTTTTTTTTTTTTTATTGATCCTACTCTTCAACAAGTACCACAAGCTTCTAACCTCCATAGTCCATACTCATGAAATTAGTGAAAGATTGTACCTTCTTATCTATATTTAATATTGGTCTATGTTCATTGGTGAGTTAGAAATAATTTGTGGCATTCAAATTCTTACTACTCTACCTTGAGACTGGCAACCAAAGTAAAATCCTTATGGCTTATCTACCATGATGCTGAAAAATTAAAGAAGTTTTGCTCAATACATAAGAATTTGGCTATAGAATATAAATTTCAAATTACTTGTCATGACAGTTTTCTTGAGACTTTTTGAAATCTTTCTCATACTTTTTTTCTATCTCATGTGGATAGGCTAAAGTTACTTGAAAGTTCTTTTTTTTAGAGGCATTTTGCATTTCTATGGGGTTAATGGCTTTCTTCTTCTAGGTGAATCATTAAGGTTTGGTTTTTTATTGTTTTCTTATTGCTTTATAAAATTATTTTTAAGTAAAAAAAATCTATTAAAAATAGGAAGAAAAAAATTGTGGTATAAAATTATCACAAACGAAGTATAAATCTAAATTTTTGATATGGCATAATTTTTAAATGTCTAATATTTTTGAGATTGCGGCTTCATTTGAGACAACTTTTTACTATTTCTCATGAAATTTTTTTAGTAAAAACATATTATTTAAACCTAAAAAAATAGTAGTAAAAATTAATTCCAAATAAAATCATAATCATTTCATTTCCGCTCCCTGAATACTGCTCTGACTTTTCTTTACTTTAGGTTTCCCTCTCCCCTTTCTTTTACGTGAAATTATCCTGCACAGGCGCCGGACGGTCTAGAGGCCAACCAGTACGCGTCACGTCACTTGGTACATAGTGATACCCAGCACTGATACCGAGCAAAAAAATAATATAATACGTTCTGATTGACCAGAACCTCTAGACGATGTCTGATGTTCAGACATAATAATATTTTTTTTTTCTTTTATAGGCTTTGGGCTATTAGAAATCAGGCTCGATAGTACTACAGTGCATATACTTCCGACAACAACAGTAGCAATTCTACTTGATACTGCCTCTTTGGATAGAGCATGTGTAAACATAGTTTAATTTTTGCTCATTACTCATAATTATAAAAAAAAAAAATACACGGCGATCACCTCCGCGACGATCACTTCCGCTCGTGTGCTAATCATCAATGGAAGCTAAACTATTTTCAAACTCCCAGAGTAAGTTCCGAAAAGGTCCTTCTTATCCTCTTTGTTTTACCCAATTACACCTCCCCCTCTTTCAAGTGGTCCTGCCGGTCCACTTCACTCTTCCAATTACATCGCCATCCCCCAAAAAGACCCTCCCAACCCGTTCTTCTTCTAGCACCCTCTCACGTGATCACACCTCTCCATCGCCGTCTGATCCTGGCCCACCTTGTACCACCCCGCGCTCCCTCGCTGTCACACCTAAGGGGCATTCACGTAAATCGACTTCCACCGTGATCTCTCCTGACTCGGCCCGCCCGACCCCTCCATCCAACCCATCTCCTTCCGGCCCAGCCTCCGCAACTCCGCCTCCCACGGTTCAAATGTACCTCCCACGTGCGCGTCACATGCCGAAGCAAACACGGACCAGGGTCTCTCAAATTTAAAGCCGCACATCCCCGCTTGCCCACCAAGTCCTACTATCTATCCTCTCTCGCTCTCTCTCCCTCTTTCCACCTCGCGATGTTCTCACCCGAAGATCACCGTATGTTATCCTACGCGACGAGATCGGCGCCGGTAGATCACCGGAGATGGAAACCGTCACTAGAGATAGCCCCGAATTGCCCTCGCTGTGATTCCTCAAACACCAAATTCTGCTATTACAACAACTACAGTCTCACCCAGCCCCGGTACTTCTGCAAGGGCTGTCGAAGGTACTGGACCAAAGGCGGCTCACTCCGCAACGTCCCCGTCGGAGGCGGTTGCCGCAAAAACCGCCGTGGTAAATCGGCTCGACTTTCCTCCGATTCAATAACCTCCTCCACATCATCAAGCAGCAGCCTACGGATTGATACCACCAGAGTACTGGACTCCGGGCTTCGCCCTGACCAAGCACTCGATGACATGTTCGACACTTATTACCCGAGTTCGGATTCTGGCGGTTCGAATATAGATATGGCAGTTATGTATGCTAGGTACTTAAACCAGGTGCCTGATAAATTGCCTGTAGAGATTGACGATTCATTTGGATTTATTGGATCCGTGACAGCCGAGTTGTCATCGTCGTCAACACCATCAACTGATATGAACTGCCAGACTGTTAGTCAAGCAGATGAAGGCAATCTGGGATTTATGGCGAGCAATTGTGGGATGGAGGAGTCTGTTGTGTTTCCTCGCTTGGAGTACTCATCTTCGATGTTGCCGGAGATGAACGGGGGAGATGTGTTTTCCATGAATTGGGGTTCGGTCTATCCGAATATGCCGTGGCCGGCGCAGGAGCAGAATCTCGCCGTGGCGTCTACACGGGTACAGCAAGAAATTGGATCTAATCATCATTTTCAAGAACTTGTGGTTGGAGATTGGAGCTCTATGGATCAATCTGGGTTTGAAGCATTTTAGATGGTGGGTGTAGTATTCAGTTTCTCTTCGATCTCTAAATATCCTTTGTTCTTGTTTTCCTATATATATCTATTTGTCTTGCTTTTGGTATATAGAGCAGCGGTGATAAGGATTGAATTCAATAAGATTAATAAAAACAACACCACGCCATATTTTCCTGGCGAGATTGTGTGAAGATATGTTTATGTACAATTATTTTTTTTTTAACCGTGGACGCAAGTGATTATGATTGAATCAAGCCAGCTTGCATTGACTGCAACTGAGACATCTTTCTATGGTATATTTTACTGAAGAATTAGGCTGAGCAGGACTGCTGATTTGCAAGCTAGGCAATATAGGTGCGACCAAAAGCTGCAGATATGAGTGTAAGAGCGTCTCCAACTAAAGTCCTAACACTCAACACTCGTTTGGCTTCGCTGATTTGCTTCGTTCCATTGCCAAATAAAACGTTATTCGTGTGGGGGTGAATACTGCGATGTCAATATTGACTGCGATGCTAATATTGGCTGCGATGCTAATATTGGCATCGCACTATTCGCACACTATTTTTTTTTTTAATCCGAAAATTAGGTTAGAAAAAGTGTGAGAAAGAATATTCCCATAATTTTTTTTTTTTTTTTGCATTCAAAAATGAAGTTCGGTTGGAGATGAATTACTAAATTTTAGGATATTAATGCAATTTAGAGTGAAAATTGAGTTTTTAGGTTGGAGATGGCCTAACAAGTGCACTGTGTGTAGTGATTGTACCACGTGCGGGCTATTTGAACTATCGTAATTGTTTTTTTCTTCCAAAAAAGTTTTGCTTGTCTCACTACAGGAAACTCAGGCAAAACCGGCGGTTTTTTCCGGCGGATTTTCTGGTAAGGCGGTTTTAAAAAATACCGGCGGCTTTTCGGCGGTTCTTAAGCCACCGGTAAAATTGGCGTAGGAAATCATTACCAGTGGTCTTTTTCTGGCGGCTTTATTAGCCGACGGCCTTCCGACGGCCCATACCGCCGGTTATTACCGGATTGTGTACCTGCGGTGTTCCGGGCGTTGCGCCGCCTGCTATTATACTGACGGCTAACCGACGGTCCATTCACCGACGGCTTGCCGGCGATTACAGCGGCCGGCGTGCCCTCGATCAACCGCTGGCAAGCATCGGTACACCGCCGGTACAATACCGGCGGTTACCCGGTGGTCCCCGCCAGTTTCTCTCTCTCACTCTCTCTCTTTTCTCTCTCTCTCTCAATCTCTCTCCTGCTATCTTGCTCTCACCCAAAGTCACAATCAACCCATTAGATCTATCATTACTAAAATTACACTTAATAAATTCAAATTTAGATCTACTCAAACGATTACAAGATTACAACATATTGCAAATGTTTAGATTACAACCTAAAGCATACACTAAATTACAAACTCTTGCAAATGTCTAGTGAGAGCAAATAATCACAGAAAAACATTCAAGTTTACCTTCAAATCCCGGTTTTCCTTCAACTCCCACGAAGGGCGGTCGCTGTGAGATCGACGGCAGCAAGAGATCTAGCTTCGAGGGCGGCCGGTATGGGGTCGGCGGTCGGAGAGAGGAGAGGTCGTCGGCGTTGTCAACGCGCTCGATCAAGCGAGAGGAGGGCGGAGGCGACGGGGGAGCTCGGTAGAAGAGAGAGAGCGGAAGAAGAGAAATGAAATGGGAGGCTCGGTCCTGTTAATTTTAGGGCTTTTACCGGCGGTCTAGGGTGAATGAATGAATTTTGTGTTATTGTAATGCTCTTAGAATAATCTACATAAATATGTAATAGGGAGGTTTTCATATACATTTGTTTGGCGAGAACTTTTATTAATTCATCTAATTAAAAGATGATATGACTTGAATTTTGAGATAATTTTTTAGCATAGCATTTATTTATTTATTTATTTATTTTTTGAAGAAAAACAGCTGACGAGTCATAAACTCAATCTATATTAAAGTTTATATTACGATTTATATGGTGCCTAGAAAATTTAAATTAAGAAAGAAATTGGGCACCTAAATGTAATAGGTATGCACCAATAAACATTGAAGTTGTCATTTCCTTTGTACGGCCTTGTCTCTTTAGTGGGGCAAAGCAAGTATGTGCCCGATACCGGTGGATGGCCTTGCTAGGTTCCGCCGAGGGATTAGTTACGCCATCAAGTGCTATCTTTGGAGTAGCATCGGATGAATATCCCCGTTCCCACATAAAAAAAAAGTCATTTCGTCCTGTGAAATGACATTTCTGATTTCATTGAAAAGACTAAGGTTTTGTTTAGGATGAATTTTTTACTGTTTAAAACAGCGATAGAGAAAATGATTTTTAAAAACTGTTGTAGAAAGCAACTTTTTACTAAACAGAGAGCAAACAGAAATTATAGTTGCGATAAAAAAGCTGTCTTAAATGAAGCCTAAATGATGGACTAACCAGGCATAATTGAAGTAATTAAATATTTTACCCTCCAACAGAAAATGTTGCACCAATAAGCACCCTTAATTGATTTAAAATAGCGTGTATAATGCATGGCTCTTTTATCCTAGCTCATTTATTGTGTAGAATCATGCAGTGATCTCTTCCATCTACGAACGAAGGATATTAATAAAACGGTTAATTTATCTACAAGCTTTCTAGATGACAAGATGCATGAATTATTAAGCATCCTTTATTGAAGTCGGCCAACTCCATTACCATAGACCAGCACCATGATTTGAAATAATAGATCATGAGTTATAAAGGGTTTTGTCCTGTTACAATCAAACGTAATTATTTTTATAAGGATTAATTATTCTGTGTGGACACTCGTCCGTAGGCCAATCAGAATGCGCCACATCACCTCTTTACTCTGTATCGAAACTCTGTACTGCTCGATACTACTCGGTATTCTGTATATGATTTCCGCACAGAATAATTTCTTGCTGATCAGAGTCATCTGTCAGAGATAAGAAATGATGGTGTGTTAGAGCACAAGACGCTGTAAGAACATTCTCTCTGGCACGCTAAGCAGCAATTAGCAGATCGTTATTGGCATTGGATAATATACAGTGATACTTCTTGGGATTTTGGAACAGCTCAGTCAACGCGACCTACCCTAGAAGTAAGAAGAGTGATTGCACATGGGCACAATCCAAGAAGTAGGGGCCCATGATCCAAGAAAGCTCTTGACACCAGTTTCTCCTAACCCCGAGAGAAGCCACTCCACTTACAATAATTACTATTTAATATTTTTCAATTTTTATTTGTTTTTAGCTGATCAGTCCCATGTTTAAGGCTTAATAGGCTCGAGTCAATTATGTCAATTAAGATAAATTTATACATGCATCATGTATGCAAGCCTCGAATCTAAGACTTCTTGATTAGCAGTCAAAGCTCCCTACCAACGAACCAAGTTGAGTTGCGTGTATTAATTTAAAGCGTTATATGAATGTTTTTGTTATGTGATTAGTTGAATGGTTGCAAAACAGTTATTTTATGAGTGTTAGTGGATATATTTGTGGCCATCAGCATGATTATTTTGACGGTCGAAATATGGGTGGCTGCAAAGTCAATTAGCGGATGCTTGTAGCCGATCACATGTTTTGCATACAACATTGCAATTATAGCAAGCTTAGAGCCACTCAATGGTTTCTCTTAGTGGTCGATTAGTGATCATGAGTTGTCTCTAATTTGAAGCTTATTTTACTACTTGTGATCAATGTTGGTTGTAAATATAATCATTAATAGTACATAGCCGCAGTGGCGGAGCCATAAATTACTTTTCTGCACTTTGTGTTATAAGTAATTGAGCATTCCAAAATTTGAATATTAACTGCTTGAGATTGAATATTAACTTCTTGGGATTATTTATATAACTGCTGATTATTAGATAACCCTGCAGGATCGAGTCTAGATTTTTCATTTAAATTTAAATGTAAATTTGATTTGATTTGTGTTGTAATTTCAAGTGATTTGAGATGGGATAACATCCAATTTGGAATCCAAAGAGGAAGGGACATCCCTCAGGGGAGATTCCCAATCCATTTGGAGCTCTAAATTAGGATGATTTTAAAATATCCAAAGAGAAAAGATAACACCCCTTCCAAGGGGGAGTTTATTTTCATTTGGATATTCGGACCCGACGATCTAAGAAGCAGCAGAAGGACAAAGAAGTGGATAACGAGAAAACCCATTCTCAAAATCACTTAAGTCTTAGGATTAGAAATCCAGGTTGTTATCAGTGGTGCCCGGCCACTTTCCTTTTCTGCAATTCTGGGATGTAATAATAAGTGGCACTTGCCACATGGACATTCAATTCGAGCTATTAAATTAATTGAATTATTTATTGATTGATGTGTTTATTGCGATATAGGATTTCTTGCTTTTAATAGTTTTTGGCGATCTTGCATGTCGTATTTTGATTTAGCCTGGAATTCGATTATAGGTTCTTAAGGACCTAACAAAACTTTTCTACTTAAATCAAATTAAAAATTTTAAGTCAACATAGAAACTCTAACGTTTTAAGAAGTAAGCCCGGGACCGCCGGGAGTTCTCTTTTCGTAACTTTTTTTAATTTTCAAATTTAAACCATTTAATCGAGTCGATCAGCATGCATCGCATTAGCAACAAATTTAAAAATCTCTAAAACTTTAATTGCATTTATTTAGACATAAGTTAAGGGGTCAATTAAGGATCTGCTCTAGATGTCGACCCCATTCTTTTAAACTTTTCTAAATAATGTCCCTACCACTCTACATAAATTGACCAGACTCATGTTTTTAAAGCGCCTAGGTGGTTTAGCTGGCTCCCCAATCCAGGCCGGGGTAAGTTCAGATTTGTACAGCATTAGCTAGGTTCGGGTCACTTTTCAGTACCCAATTTAGACTTAGAATCTGAGGCTAGCTCGGGCTATAAGACCTCAACCTCTGAAAATATAATCCCAACATTCCAATAAAATTAACCACTCAAACTAAAAATCTCTTTCAATCAAATTCGAGCCCAACACCTAGGATAGACTAGGGCATTCCTGAATTGTTTCAGAATCCCAAGTGCCTCCTACCCTTCTTCCTTTGACTCCAGAATTAACTGTTCAACCTTGAACCAATTCCTGAATTGTTTCAGAAATTGTGATTGATAATTTCTTTCCTCGAATTGATATATCAATTACTATCGTAATTTTGATTATGAAATTAATGATCTTTTATCCAAATT